TGTATTAAATATAATCCATTATTAATATGTTAATAAGAATCGGTTAAATTATCAAAAAAATTGTGGGCTGTTTTTATTAAATATATACAAAGCGTGTTGGTTTAGAACACGGATATTACTTAGTAGGTTACTGTAGGTTTGTATCACGGGAATAGTATAAGGTATGATTAAAATTTAGTTTAGTTCCTTTGTTAATGTGCTTTCCAACACTAAACGCCCTACAAAAGGCGAATACTAAACTAAATACAAACTAAAGCAAAATAATAATTTGTATTAATTAATAGGGCTGGCCTATTATCTCAACGTATAAGTGATAGGTAAGCAACCATAAATTTTATTACCTGATAGCCCTTTATATTTGGAGTTATGCCTGTATCAATATTACAGAATATATCCCAGAATTAAAATATTTAGGCTCCTCCTTGCATAGGCCTATGAAAAACTTAAAATATTACAAAAAAGTTAAGTGTTTCCTGGGTTATGAAGTTATATTGTCCTGTAGGTGATTACCAACGTTTCGGAGGAACGGAATGCCTCCATATTCACCTTCTACCCTAAAGTTGAGGAAATAGAGGCGATACGTTCCATCTGCAAACTGACCACACACCGCCAGACCTCATCATGCTGATTACAGTTTTATCGCTGTTTTAGCTAGTTTAACTGCATCTGTTTTAAAATGACGTAGGCCTAGTAGAGTAGATTCTGTAGCTGAAAACCACTGTCAAAATATTCCACAAAATTCTAGTGGGTGAATTTGTCTATCGAGAAACTCAATTCGCTATCATCCGGTGACTGCCTCTACTCAGCGGTCAGATTCTTGCCATATGGGAAGGCGAACAGCGAGCAGTTTCGTAAGTTACCAGTACCAATTTTGCGTGTGAAGTTTGGCCCAACACGCATTGTTTTAATTCTGTACCGTCACAATGACAAAAATATTTCTAAACCAGCAAAATAATTACATGACATAATCCTTTTTAAACGGCGTAGGAGAAGCAGGTAAATAAGTAAATATAGCGGCGTACTGCGGGCTGCCGTCATAGCAGGCTCCACTTGGCTTCACGCGCAGCGCCGCGCCCAAGCGTTCTTTTTCTGGCGGGAATGAGAACGCCAGTAACCGCTAGATTATCACGTGGACTCGCCTACGCGCCAACACGAATCGATCCTTCAAAAGCGAAATATGTCCGCCCTGGAAAACAGTTCTGTTCTTCAACAGTGTGCTTTGTTGGAACATGAAACAAATATTCGTGTTTGCTTTCTGAAAGACGGTCTCTAGGCACAACCACGCCTATGAAGTGCGTGTGTGCTTAAACTTCACGTGACAAATGAAGACGAAATCTGCTCATCGCAAAGGATACTAAATAATGCTTACAGTAGGCCCAAATGGAATGTGCAATATGTCAGTAATTCGGCCACAATTGGCGCGCTATGGGCAAAGTTAGTACAAATTCTGAGTTTCGATATAGTTCTGCGTTTGAAATTGTTGTAGCATTTTTCCTTGTCTTCAGAAAGTAACGCACAGATTTAAAAACTGTCTTTATACTCTGGTGCAGTTATGCGCTGTTTCTACAAACTAGTTTGAACTTAAGTGACACACTGTTTAGATAACTCATTTGGTAACCATGACTAGTGAGTCTTATAAAGCCCAAAACATCATCAGAAAATAATTCTTGAAACCAAACCTAACCTTTTCTGTACCTAATGGCGTTCAAATCACATAACAAACTTCATGCAACCTTGCACTTGCGAAATTATACATCACACAGAAAAGCAAACCCATTAACGTGTGATATTATTCTAGGATCTACTTCTTTGTAGTTCTGATTTTATTTTCTATTAATATTTCTGTGTTATCTGATTAACATTAATTTATGATTTGACAAAACACATCAAAGTAAAACCATACATATGCAAAATAGTTTCGGTTTTTAAAAATGAGATTTTTCTTCGGACGAAGAAATTAGCCATACACAACCTATGCTATGAATTCTGTCGGCCTTCTGGATTCATTCTTAGGTCTACTTTTTATGACAGAAAGAAAGTTAAATATGTTTCACATGGTAATTCGCACGTAAACGAAAAAGTTACGTTTTATTTCAGTGATATGGAGATACTTTCCGTTGCTGTGAGTAAAGAGAAGGGAGAAAATACAATAAATTCATATAACGAAGTTAGCCGGAGGATTAGCTATATCTGCTCTGCAAATTCTTTGATATTCTTCGAGCATGTAGCATGAACATGCCCACTTAAGCGTACGTTACATGTAGTCTATTATAACTTCATGTAGCTACAAACATGAGTGCAAGAATGAACTATTTGGAGCATAAAGAATAGATCTGTAATAGGCCTAATCACTAATCAACCCACAAGCCACTACAGATTAGTCCCATATGACGAGGAAAAACCACGTCCTTGATTCATTTTTTCATCTGGGTGAAGGTAGAGGGACTTTTTTAGGGTCTGTAGTAGATGGACCATCCCTAAAGGGTGTTAAAAGAATGGCGACTTCAACACTGATACCTGTAGGAAGGGCCCGGGTAATGTCTGGCGCCTCAACAGTTGGTGCAGCTAGCAGAAACGAACTCTTCTGCTCTAATTACAGCGACGTTCGAACAAAGATATGGATTGCATGTACAATTAAGAGATTGTTAGATGCAGTTCCAAGTATGTAACTCCTTGGAGTACATTCCTCCCTAAGAAGCACATCCTCTAAGCGCTTAGCTAGTCAAGAAATTTCCCGTTTCTTATGGCACTCGAAGGATAATTACCGTGTTTACGATAGTCCGCTAATGACCCCTGTCTTCAGCCAAACGAATTCAGATCTTCCCGTCTATGCATTTGATAATAAAAATAATAACTATAATATTGGGCATAATAATTTTGAAAACGAGTAGGCAACCAGTAGCTTAACAGTCCTGTAAGCATGCGCAGTAGAACAAGACATATCAGCTCAAGGCCATTAAGTCCGTGTTTTTTTATCTGTCACAGAATATCGCGATACGAAAAACAGACCAAAACGTTCAGAGCTGCTGTAGATTACTGACTGACCGCCTTGAACCTTCACAAGCAAAAACCGATAAATGACGTCACGCTGGCTAAAGCCACACTTCACAATCGCGTAACGGAATATTAGGCTGTGTTGTGAAAACCTCAAATCTTACATTGGCTGTATAGATTTCTGTCCTCTTTTGATGGGAAAGTAACAAATCTAATTATAAGGGCACACTCAGTAATTTGGAGACGCTGTCTCGCAGTTCAGGTAGCAAAACTTTATGCGTTAATTCATTTTCAATGCGTTACGTCATCAGTCTTTTTCCTGTGCAGGGCGATATCGTTTCCTTTTATTGTGGGGCTCCATTCTGGATATCTTTGGGCATTGAGACTAGTATTCAACGAAACCATTATCCTTTTCGACAGCAGCTCCTTTCTCAATGTCCTCGACTAGCCTCTTTCTTGTTATAGGCGTATGCCCGTCTAAACATGTCACTCGCTGCCTCCGTGCTGTGGCTGAGTTAAATCGTGAAACATGCTTCGTCTAGAATACCTCTTAATGGAAGCTATCAGAAAAGGATTAGGGACCTTCAGACGGGGGGACGAAACGAAAACCACTGTAATCGTGAGAGACGAGATTTTGCCGTACCTTTTTTATTCTCAACAGCCGTCAAGACAGTTTCTACAGATGCGAGGGGGGACACAGCACGCAGTTGTACCCAGCTTAAAAATCCAGTCGCTCAGTCGTGTGTCACATAACAGTGCACGAGATTTGCTTCGAGTCTTTCTTCATATTTCACCATGTGGCTTAGTTATAAAGACTTTTCAGCAGAGAGACTGCGGAATTAAGACCTTTTCATATAGGTCTACGTTCTTTATAATGGAAAACTTTAAAGAATAATTTACTAAAAGGTGCACTGTAAAGGAGTTACTCGTATTACGTCACACGTAATTCCAGTCTGAGACATTTTGAACGAAAATTATGTATAAACACCGAAATATGGGCCTTTTAACATCACTTCTCTCTAAGTGAGTCCCCTTGTGTCTGGTTATACCCTACCCAGATCCCTCTTTGCCCCTTGCCACGTGTCATTTGTGTGCAAGCCAAACATATCAAAACATTTATTTTCTACAAAAACGCACACAAAACTGGAAATCTTTAACAATGAAGCAGGTAACAGACAAGGATAGCTCTTACAAAGGAAAAGAATGGATAGACTGGAGGGCCCATAGACCCAGGCTTGTCTTCGACCGGATCCTCCACACAGACAAAGAATGCCCAGAAGATATATGTCACTTAGAAGGTGTTTGAAATCAACAAATTATCTGCTACTTAGTACAACAGGTGCGTCTCCTTTCATACTACGGGTTATAACAGATACGGTTGCATTTTGGAATGTTGCGAGATGTCTACTACATATTGAACGACGTTTCAAACGTGCTTACTACCTCCAACATCTTCTGAAACGTCGGACACTACACGGTGCATCATCCCACAAGACAGACATCATCTGCCTCGTCGTCGTGACAACCGGAAATCTTACCAACAGATTATTATTATTATTATTATTATTATTTGAAGATCTCGGTCCATAAGATCTCAGACACGGATCCTGAGGAGTGATTTTAAATCGAAGCTTACGCGAGTCCTCGAGAAATCAGTCAGGCAGGAAGTTGTCGACCTATCGCCCTTTGTCCCATAGTCTAAACACAAGGAACGCGAAATCGGTCGTGAGATGCCTCTTTCTGGTGGACTGAGCTGACAGTCACTGCCATCGGAATTAAAGTGAACGGTTTCGCCCTCAGCCCCAAGTCCCGTGTACGTTAAAAAGAGGATAAACTATATTTCTGCGTGAACCAGGCCTAAAGTCGTGAATATTTCTGTTCGTGACTGGTGAACATTTTAAAATTCGGGCTATGTGGTTTATCACAATCATTGTGCATCGCGTAAGAAGGAAGTGGTTGTTTATAAATATTTAACGAATGTATGACGTGAGAGGCGGCGACCTTACCTGCTGCATCTTTGAATGTTGGTCACCTTGGGTTGCGTCGTTGCCAAGGAAACCAGGAATAACGGGGTGTGATGAATCTCTTGTGCTGGACCCGTTTCTTCATTAATCACCAGCTGGGATGTAGTCTTCTTTTGGCCAACATCGCAGTGTGATGATTTCGCAATTATCACAGTTACTTCACTCGTGTACGGATCACTTTATAAATTAAAAGACTCGAATTGATTTCATGTTTCGTTCTATTCTTTAAACCGGTAATTTGTTTTCTGGGTGTCTATTCGTCAAACATTGATAATACACACGACTTCTGCAGACGGCAGCCATTCGACCTGAAACAAAAACAATACAGATTATAGTTTAAGTCTGCTTAAAGTTTAGAACGCACATTGCGTCTGTAGCGGAGGAACGTGGACAATGTGCGAGGTAGTAACTAGCGAACGTAAAAGCGCGTACATGTTTCTAAACCGTCACATTTATCTAATTACCTGGATCGTATGACGGGTTGTTTTTTTATATGATAAAGCCTGGTGACATTTGCTTCCTCGTAGATTAAAGAAATGCGAAACTTTCCTCTTGATTCTCTGGGTTGGATGCTGGTGATTGGAACGGCGGTGTGCGACACTGGGAAAGAGACGACACAGCGAGCACACGAGTTGCGTGCTGCGGGAAGGAACAGGAGAACACACGGAATAATATTAAAAAAAAGAATGACTCGAGAGAAGGCGCAGAGGAAAAAATATGGAGGGGAAATGGGAAGTAGGAAGGGGCTTTAAGGGAGGGGGGATTCTTGGGAGGAGCGGCCAAGGAATGATCGCTAGAAGGGGAGCTGAAGAGTGAGGGGAGGACAACTCCTTAGGAGGGAGTCGTCTTCTTTTGCAAGGGTTAGAAAATTCACAGGAAGGAAAGGTACTTTTTGGATGGAATTTGGGAAAAAAAATAATATTAAAATAGATTTAAAACGGTAAAGGATCTTCTTTGGACTTTCATTTCGTTGAAATGTTTGAGATTTTTCATGTATGGAGGTGAAAAAAAAAAATTGTTCTCTCTCGCCGTGGCAAACGAAACTCGTCAGATAAACGCAACTGACTGCAAGTTCAGATAATGAATCACGAAATAAAAAAGGGTCTTCTACGAAAACGTAAATTATAAAGAACACAAGAATAAGATCAGTTCCAGAACCAGGCACAGCTGGGTTTTCCATTCTGTATTCATCACTAGGGCATGTAATTCAGCGTTTGCACAAATTTATGTTAATCATATTCCAGAAATTATCACTTGTCTGCGTTTTTATGAAATAAAAATGCCTTTGGTTCCACTTCTTCAGCCTTTACGGCTTAGTCCATAAGGCGTGTTCCTACTCAGTACCGATGAACAAGAATTCATCACAACTCTGACATGTATAATCACCAGATGTTTACCCACGCACATTTCTCGCAACTTCTACGTCCATAACTTGATCTAGAGATTTCACTTCAAAGATATACAAAAATTAAGAAGTGATATTTCAGGTTCTCGTGGCGGGTCTACCAAAGCGGGGGATTAATTAACCGAACAAATGACTAGGTGAGTTTGCAGGTTCTCACTGCGACGAGTGTGAGGACGGCTATCTTTTGGGATGTTACGGTGGAAGAAATTTACCGACGTTTCAGATGTGCGTACAGCCTCTATATCATATGGGAGGCAGTAAGCACCGCATGTATTTGTGAATATCCTCTGAAGGAGACCGGAAACGACAAATTTTAAAGATAACACGAAGGTCGTCTGATATGTCCTTAATTACGGAATTGGAATGTCTTGGCACATGAAGTAACTGGGCGATGCATGGGTTTCAACTTGCCTTTAAATTAAGGAACCACTTGAGGCCTACGTAATTAACTGCCACAAAACTGGAGACAACTTTTCACACCCAAGCACACTTAAGATATCAAATGTAATATATTTATGAAAGTGGAGAATAAATTACGGTTTTGATAGCCTACTTGTTTTCCCTTCAGGCTGTATCGTTTGCAGTGAGATAATATGTTATTTCACTTTGGTTTCCAAAAGCGACGCCATCTACAGGAAGTGGTCTACGTTCCAAATGACATGCATGCATGAGAGGGCAATTTTATAATGTTTAAATAAATCATATCAGGGCCTATTGATGTTGTATTTCGACCACTGATTATGTATGTGATCGTATGAATAGAATATAAATTATGGCAACGTTCCGTCACTTGAGACGCCAGGCGAGTTTAATTACATCTCGAAATTGGCGAAACCATGCCTGAGAAATATAAATATATGTGTAATAATGTAGGCTTAGTTTTAATACTCTTCCCAAAGTCCACTGACGTGTTTGAAGAGTGAGATAATGAATATTTTGGCCTACAGGAAGTGTTTGAACGAAATGTGCAATTAGGCCTACTGCATTCGTTTGGAAGTGTGCAATCTAAACTAACACATTTTTAAGTATGTGAAAATCTGATTATTAAGCTCGCCTAACATTTTAACAGGCCCGTGTTAAAATATCGTATAAATTACACACGAATTGATATGTGTGCGAGCTCTAAATATTAAAAAGATTAGTCGCGTAAATCGTGTGGAGCATGGCTCTGTGCCACACGTAATCTGAACTGGCACCACACCCAACCACTGATATAACCAAAGTATATAGACAACATTTTAAGACGTGTTCTGGATTTAATAGATTTTGTGAAAAAAATCAAAGACAACTTTTATCAACCCCGACCACTGTTCTACTCCGTACAGAGGCACTTTCCACTTCGAAACATTTTGGACGTATGGACGTAGTAGCCCCCTGTACCAGAAATAAATACCCCGCCCACTGTTTTATTCCAAACAAAGGCACTCACCATTTTCAAATATATTTTGGATTTGGTCCACGACCTCCAAGTATTTTGTAAGTCACTTCGTCAGCACCCTATTAGCACAAGAATCAATCGCCCTTGTAGTGCGTCCATCACACGTAACATGGCAGATGCACATTTGGAATATAATCCGGCAGGAAGGAAATCCCATCACGTTTTTGTTTTGATTTAACTGCTGAAAGCCTAATATTCTCAGTGAAATCACAATCAGGCAATTATAATTCATTTTCGAGCCAACCCCCCACTCCCACTTGAGAACCACACCGAGACCTACTTTCTCACTTGTCGGGAAACACACCACAGACTGGGACGCTAGTTCTCTGGTCGCTCCGTTACACACGTATTCCCTCTCCATGCTCTCCAAATTTGCCCCTAATATTATCCCCCTTCTCCAAGGTTCATTCTCTTATCATAATTTATCTCCCCACCCTTTAATATACCCCGCCTCCAAAGAGCTCATCACAACTTCCGGTGACGTAACGGCGCATGCGCAATTTCATCGCTCCACCCGTATGTAAACGCATAAGCGTAATGCGCTTGGGGGTCTTTCTCTGAAACCACGCCTTCTTCCCCACTACGAATCCGCCTGCTTCCCCCACTGTTGAAGCTACGCCCTCCCATCGGGCCCTACCATTGCGGAATTAGAAGTGTAGTAGTCGTTCTCAGGATTGCCGTAAGAGGACACACCAGTCAGTGCTGCAAGCGCCACTCTGTGTGAAGATTTTATAACACGATGTAGGCTCTGTAATATCGGAATAGATAGGTCGATATAGCAGGAATCTTCCGTACGCTCCATATCCGTATAATAATTACTGCATGTATTTGTGATTTATATTACGACACTTTCGTAGCTCGGAAAAAAGTCGAATTGAGATTATGACTTAGGAAGGATATGAAAGAAGTTGGGTTTTCTGGGGTGTTATGTCGTGTAGTCTGGTACAAGTTTACCGACGTTTCAGAGGTGCTTGCTGCCTCGATCATAGGGGCGCTACAACCCAGAAGACAGCTCGTCGGCGTGAAAATATGAAATCTTAATGTTATGTATGATGCACAGAGAATAAATTTTCACCAGCTATGAAATACATACGTTTTAAAATTAAATAAAATCGGTAAAACCAGTAAATTAAAAAAAACAGATCCCTTCATTTACACACGTGTGTGTTTGACTGGCTGTATGGAACAGGGATTTGTTGTGTGTTCTTGCGTGGGAAGTAGTTATTAAGCCATTCTCAGGAATGCAGATATGCTAACAGTATCTTGATTGTTGTGGTTGTTGTTTGACGTGTCTCTGAAATCCATTAATCGGTCATTCAACACTCATTCAACGAAATCAATTTAAAATATCTTAGCGTTAGATTACAAGAAACGGTTAGCACAACGGCAATGCGTGTGTTTCGTAGGCCAAGTATAACGCTGTTGAAAGTATAACCGGAATATTGGTAATATTTTTTATTTTTCTAAACACAAATTCCCAGATAAAAAACCTGAATATGAAACGTTAGCAAGGCAAAGCTCCACGTATTCTTCATTTTAGCAGGCCTTCTGTCAGGATAAGGAGACGCAGTTGCATTTTATAGGAGTCCGGGTAGACTCGAGAGCCGGTCTGGACGTGTTTGCCCCTGTCGATAACCGAATACCGATGATGCATCCCGCGGCAACTCTTAATATTGATTGATCTGTCATGACAGGATAATATGTTTAAATAATCTGCCACTCTTCTCCTCTTCCGCCTGTGTTTTGAGTCATTATGTAGAGCCTATATAGGTATTTAGAAATCAGAAATTCGTGCTAAATTATGCTATGCTCTTACTGAGAAATTTTAATTTTCTGTTTTCGTTGAAGCGTTTTTATCCGTGAAGATGAGAGTAGTATGTTGCTCCGAAACATCAGTAAGTACCTGAAAATATACAAGTGTACAACCCAGGGTAACATCGACATCCTTACCTTCGTGAGGACCTCGAATTTCGCATAGTTTTACTATTTCAACCGTCCAAAGAGCCATGACCAGGAATGGTGATTGGGATCGAGTAACCGGTCTTCAAGACATTGGGCCCGCGTAAAAATACGCAATTTTGATATTATAAGCAGTGTTTCATGATGTCTCTATACTGACGTCGCAGCGTTCGTAATATCCATCCTATTTCTGTAATAATAAGCGAAAAGAATGGTTCTATAGACTTAATTTGATAATACAGTGGATTCCGATTAATTGGGACACATCGGGACCGGAACACTTTGGCCCAATTAATCGGAATCTACTGTATACATTTTTGCTACAGACTGTGTGGCTTAATTATAAAAAAATGGAAAAGCTTTAAGGTATTTGTGTGGGTTTAAAAGTTTCTATAAATTTGCACTTGCTTATAAGATTGACGAATGTTGGTGACAGAAGCATTCCGTTATATACTTCCTTGTCTGTAGGAAAATAAACCTTGGCGTAAATACAGACAGTGTTTATATCGATTAAGCTTACACGTAAAATAGCAATTGCACTGATGTGTCGTCTCGTTAATAAATGATTCTTTCCGTCCATAAAATGTACTACGTAAACCCAAAGAAACTGTCATAGAAATATAGGCCTAATTGTTAGGGCGTTTGTGTCGGGTAATTATCGTCTATCTTAAAGCGCGTTATTCCACGTCTTGTGTGGAGGCTTGAAATTCATCTCTCTTCGATTCAGTTGATTTTAAGGGAAGCGATTCTTAATTGTAGCTGATTAATTTGAGCCATCAACACCACAGAAGTCAGTATAGAATTAACGGTAATTAGGAACATATCATAAACAAAAGAGAGCATCTTTATCGACTTACATAATTGTTTTATTTCGTTTACATTTTATATTTTCCTTATATAGCCCACATAGGGTGTGTCATACCGTATGTCCAAGAAAGAAACCGTGTTTATAAATATCAAAACTGTTTTGAATTCTCGAAGCTGATATTTACATTTCGGTTACTGATTTTACATCATAAAACGTTACCAGTTTGGACTGATTATTTACAAATTAAACTGTAGGT